GTAATGGTTGTGAGTGACATAAAGGTTAAAAGCTTTTGATAGCATTGCACCAAACTGGAGTAAAGCTTGAAGAAGTGATGTGTCAGTAGGAAATCTCAGCACTGATTCTGACATCATTAAATACTCATTTTTAAGAAACTGGAAAATATGCAACTATTCTGCAAATCTGAATTTAATTTTGAAACTTTTAACATTATTTATCTCATATTATCTTTTTCCCTGTTCTTGTACCAGAACTGTCTCAGTTTGACAGTTCTTGTGAAAGCAAGATGTTCTCTGTCCTATGCTTGTCTTACACTGTTCCTACATAAGGACCAGGACAAGAGAAGAAAGGACTTGTAGTAAATGAGCATATAGGAAATATTATCTCTCAGTGTAAACTTTGATTATAATATTTTAGTTTGCTTGCTGCTCTCTATGCACATAGGAAAGGTCTCTGTGCACCCCAGGACAGAAAGAGGTTTCCCAGCACCTCCTCAGAGCTCATATCACCCAGGAGAGAGTCACAATGTGAACACTAGAAAGCACACACGGTTTCAGGAATTCTGTAAACATTGGATTCCAGCTTCCAAAACCACTCACAGATTCACTTTCTTTAAAGGCTTGTCTGGACGAGGATAAAGGTGCATTAAACAAAAACAAAACAAAACAAAACAAAACAAAACAAAACCAGAAAAAAAATAAAGAAAAAAAGAAGAAAAAAAGAAAAGGTGTCAGTAAAAACTTTTAATTAACATGTTTTCAGATTCTCAGTGTTTACAAGGTGTGTTGCATTTTAGTGCATTTGCCAGCGAAGAAGTTAAAATACATTTGTCCCAACTACGAGTGGCAAGTTAGGACATGTTCTTAAAAGTTTCAAATTTTAACAGGAGTTAAAATATGTTCATGATTGTGCTTTTACCTTAACAGAGTGTGAGTGTCACTGATGGGTTTTTCTGGGACTCCAGTGAGAAGCTGCCATATCAGCAGGCAGCTGTTATTGAGCACCTTTCTCCTTTCCCTGAACTATCAAATGAAAATACCATTTCATTCATCTGTGTTTCAGAAATGGATGAAAATGAACGTTTTAGGCAGTATTGGGGAAAGAAAAAAAGCTGGGAGTCAGTTGGGAAGTTTGACAGTAGGTGCAGGAGTCAGAAACCATGCTTTCATAGAGTGGTAAATTGCAGCTTCAGAGTACCTGATGTAAGGTCAGGATTTCCATAGCCACATAACCCAGAGTGTGGCACCACATTCAGATTTTGTTCTAGTCGTGGCCAAACATGCTGCAGGAGCAACCTTGCTTCAGCTGCTCTTGGGCCAAAAGCTATCAGCTTTTTTCCTAGCCTCCCCACAGAATATTAGTGCAAAGTTGACACAAGCACTACATACCATGCTTTTATACCTGGCTAGCTTGAGAGGAAGGTTGTGTTTATGCCCAATCAAAGTTGTGGCTGCAAGGCACAGATTTATTATTAATGATCATGTAGTCACAGCCAAGAATCAGTAACACTGTCAGCTGCAAGGCTGATTTGCTGGGTAGCACTGAACAAAGTATTTTATCATTCCACGCCTCAGTCTTCCACCTTGCCAAAAGGTTGAGGATGAAAATACCTCAGGAAAAATGTGCTGATAGGAGTCACCTTTTGGAAGTACTGCAAAAAGACAACTTCATCTACGGGGTGCAACACATTATTGAAATCAGGAAATTGCAGTGACAGAGCACTTAAACCCTTGGAGGAGCAAGGGGAGGCAAATCCTGTTGCCCCCTCCCCCAGAGAACAGCTCCCCAGCCTGGTCTCTTCTTCATTTTGGGGCTCCACAGAGCTGTCTCTCACATATGGTTGTAATGTTCTTGGAAATATCACTACACATGACACAGAGGGGAATATACTTTTTTGCTGACACAGCTATTGTGGTAAAAGCCTTAACACAAATTCCAACTAAGAATAACCTATTTTGTGCAAATACACTTGACAACGGTACTGCTTTTTTCAGACACTAAATCTCCGACACCTTATACAGTTTAAGCAACTTTACACTGCCACAGAAATTCTATGACAACTTTTTATGTGGAAGGCACACTAGAAAAGTGGTATTCTCTTCTTTATAACTGATTAGTCCTGTTGCAAAACACTAATGAGCTCTTTCTTTCTGTCTGTCTCTTTTCTCTCTCCCTGTCTCTTGGAAAGAGATTAAAAGATCAGGAACTTGAGTAAAGCACAAGTTTAAGAAAGAGGAATCTCCCCTCCAGCATATCTCTTTGCTTGGTGCATAAAGGTGTGTGGTGCGACAAGGCGCAGCCCGGTAGCTGATGGGCTCAAGAGGTCCTTCGAGGGGTTAAATCTTGTATTTGCACCTCATGGTCAAGGGTTTGGGTTAGAGATAGCTGTCTGGGTTTTAACTGCACTGGGACTGACAGAGGGACCATACATATATCCCAGATCTGCTTGTGCAGAGACTCTACAGAAGAACTTGTGGAACTAAGCACCTAAAGTCAGTCAAGGCTTAGTCTTTTCTACTTTATCTTTTTCTTCTCGAGTTGTATTGAAATGGTTGCAAAACATAACACAAGCATAATGCAAAGCACACCTTCTAAACTCCATGTCATTATGTGAAATTTTTCAGTGACGCTACTCGGAAATTCAGACGTAGCTATGGTGGAAAGCAGAAATGCATATGCCCGTGCCGGTGAAATTGCATATACCCGTTCAGGACGGACAGGTGCCTTTTGATACTGGCTGCGAAGTCCTGTCATGGTGTTCCAGCAAGTCTTCTTAGGTGATCTGTCACATCAACCAGTCTAAAAAGATAAAAACCCAAACCAACAAAAAAATACGATTTCCTTAGTATCCAGATTAAAAGGAGCAGACAAAACACAACGAGAAGCGGGGGAGGATCCCGAAGAAGGAAGCCGTCCGGCTGGCCGTGCCCCACGGTTGCGGTGCAGTCACGCCATAAGGTGAGCCCTCCGCAGCTCGCTCCATCCCTTCTGCCGCCGGTGCCCGCTGCCGCACACCACTCCACCAGCACGCCCGGGAGAGGCGGCAGCAGGCGGATCCCCGGAGAGCGGCTCCAGCCACCGCGGCCCCCGGGAGCTGCCGCCGCGGCGGCCCCGGCCACGACCCCGGCCCCACCCGGCCCCGCCGAGCCCAGCCCAGCCCATCCCAGCCCCTCAGCAGCGGGGCCGGCGGCCGCAGGTGACGCCGGGGCGGGCAGAGCCGCTCCCGCCCCGCTCCGCTCCCGATCCCACCACGGAGGCCCCGCCGCCCCCCGCCGTCGCCAGGGAAACCGCCCGGCGGCGCGGCCCCGCCGAGGGAGCCTCGGGGCGCGGCGGCACCCCCGGCACCGCGCCCTGCCGTGGGCGGTCACCCGGCAGGGCCGGCGGCCGCCCCCCGCGCCGGCCCCGGGGGCTGCGGGTGGTGCCGGTGCGGGGCGCACGGGTGGGCGTGGGGGCTGCCCCCGGGGGAGCGGGACGCTGCTGCGCCGTGCTCGGCGGGGCGGGCGGCGGCGGCCGCCGAGACAAAGGGAGCGGCGGCAGCGGCTGCGGGGGGGCTGTGCGTGAAATGCGGCGGGAGGGAGAGGTTCTATCCCCCCCCCGATAAGAAACATCAGCCAAGTGCCCCTTTTTGCCCCCCAGGAAACGAAATATTCCTCTCGAGCTGTTGAAAGCCTGCCCTCGCCAGGGTTACCGAGAGGCGGCTCTCGGCGTCCGCACGAAGCCCACCGATCCCGCCAGCCCCGGCAATCCGCGGGGAGAGGGAGGTGGGCGGCTGAGCCGAGCCTCCCCGCTCCGCAGCCCTTCATTATCGGAATCATTTTAACATCCTTGTTTATAAACAAGAGGCGTTCGGAGATTACCCGACTATGGGAAACGAGCGTTCTGACGCTTGTTTCTGCTCCTTAAATGGGGATGGGGGTGATGGGGGGTGGGGGGCTCTAGGCCAGCCTTCCCCGCATCGCAGCACGGAGGGAGGGAGCCGGCTAGGCTCCCCGTACACGCCGCCCCCTCCCCCGAGAAAGGAAATCACTCGGGTCCGTGATATTTCGCCCACCCCGGCGCTGAAAAGCGCTCCAGATCACCGTTAATTCGCGTGCATTAGTTTCGGGTTACATCTTATTCGAGGGTTTAAATTTAACGTAAATACACACTCGGGGCTGAGGTTTGGGAAAGCGCGAATGTTTCCCTGATAACGTCGCTTCGCCCACTACTTGAGTGCATGGAAATGTAATCGTGAAGTGGGTCACCGCCACAGAAAATACTTTAAAAACACAAATCAGGAATAATCAGACAGCAGAATTTAATTAGAGCCGTAGGCTAATCACAAAATATTTTATTCCAAGCCAATATCGCTATGGGGGAGGGGTCCGTTTCTGCTCCGGCAGCGGCTCCTGCTGCCGCTGCTTTAGCGTTTGCAACATCTGGCCTACAGACCTACTAATTTCGACTCGTGTTTTCGTTCTGCGAAACCCAATCTACGTGGTTCAAATACCTTCCAAATTGGGGGCGATTTAACAATCGCGACCAATTAAACCCGGGGAAGAAGAGGGGGGGAAAAAAACAAAGGGAAAAAAAAAAAAAAAAAAAAAAAGCAAGCAGCAAATCCCCTCCTTCCCTCTCTCCCCCGCCCGGGGCTCGCACACACTATCTGTTGCTCTCTCACGGCGGCAGCGGGCGGGGGCGTGCGGCGGGGCCGGGACGCTCTCACTCACACTCGCACTCGCACTCGCACTCACCCGCACGCCCCTCGCACCATTGTCCCTGCCCGCCCGCCCCGCTCTCGCTCTCGCTCGGGGTGTTTTGTTGGCGGCCCGGCGCGGGGCCCGGCGTGCCCGCCCGCGCCGCGGCGGAGCGGAGCGGCACATTCATTATCGGCCGGGGGCCGATTTCAAACCGCTGCCATCGCGGCTCCATTGTTCGCCGGGCGGGCGGGCCCCGCCCCCCTTTGTGCGCGGCGGCCGCGATTGGCCGGCGCCGGGCGGAGCGCTGCCGTCACCGCTCGGGAAGCCCATTCATCTGTGCACTTGGGCGTTGGACTCCGCATCTTATTAGCAACCAGGGAGATTTCTCCATTTTCTCCTTGTCTACAGTACGGCTACAAATCTGGGATTTTTTATTACTTCTTTTTTACTAAACTTGGGCTCCTTTTTTTTTTTTTTTTTTTTGCTCGACTTTTTCCTCCCTTTTTTTCCCCTCCCTCCTGTGCTGCTGCTTTTTGATCTCTTCAACTTTAAATTTTTTAAAAGGAGTGCATTATAATCGGTTCTGTTCTCTCTTCTCTTTTTTTTTCCCCTCTGGTGTGTGTGTGTGTTGCTGCTGCTGCTGGTCGCCCAGTATTTATACCAACCCAACGCTCTTTGTTTCCCCTCCTTTTGGATCTGTTGAGTTTCTTTGTTGAATAAGACAGCATGGGTGCCCAGTTCTCCAAGACCGCTGCAAAGGGCGAAGCCTCCGCCGAGAAACCTGGGGAAGCAGTGGCTGCATCTCCATCCAAGGCGAATGGACAGGTAAAAAACGAAAAGAAATTAAAAAAAAATATTAAATCTACTCCTTTTTTTAAGCCAACTTCGACGGACTCTCTTTCGCATCCTGTTTAATTCTTCTTCCTTTGATGCCCCAGTGGCACATTCAATGGATAATACGGTCGATCCTTTTATCTTTGCAACTCGAGGCAAAGGAACAATTTCTTTATTTTGGTTAAACGGGCTCGGCTTTGAATGATTCGTTCCTTTATCTTTTCCTGCGTGGGGGGCGGGGGGGGGGGGGGGGGGGGGGGGGGGGGGTT